GAGGAGCAGCAGGAGAGAGAAATGAGGAGCAGCAGGAGAGAGAGGGAAAAAGCAGGAGAGGGAGCAGCAGGAGAGAGAAGGAGGAGAAGATAGGAAGAGGAGCAGTCAGAAAGAGAGAGGAAGGCAGGAGGAGGAGCAACACGGGGGAAGAGGAGAAGCAGAGAGGAGAAGGAAGGAAAAGAGATGAAGGAAGGAGGAGCACGCGACAGGAATAGAGGAGAGGGAGGCACAGGAGAGGACAGGAGAGAGAATGGAGGAGAAAGAGGAAGAGGGAGCAGCAGAAAGAGAGCAGGAGGCAGGAGGAGGAGCAACAGGGGAGAGAGGAAGAAGCAGGAGAGTAGAAAGGGAGAAAAAAGAAGTAGGAAGAGTAGCAGCAGGTCAGGTAATGGGAGAGAAGGAGGAGGAGGAGCAGGAGAGAGAAGGAGGAGAAGAGGAAGAGGAGCAGCAGGAGGGGAGAGAGGCGGCAGGAGTAGCCAGGAGAGAGAATGGAGGAGAAGAGAGGAAGAGGAGCAGCAGGAGGTAGAGAGGAGGAGGAGCAGGAGAGAGAAGGAGAGAAGAGGAAGAGGAGACAGGGCAGGAGGAGGAGCAGCGGAGAGGAGAGGAGGAGGAGAAGAGAGGAAGAGGAGCAGCAGAAGGAGAGAGGAGCAGGAGGAGGAGCAGCAGGAGAGAGAAGGAGAAGAGAGGAAGAGGAGCAGCAGAAGGAGAGAGGAGGAGGAGCAGCAGGAGAGAGAAAGTGGAGCAGCAGGAGAGAGAGGAGCAGGAGGAGCAGCAGGAGAGAGAAGGAGGAGAAGAGAGGAAGAGGAGCAGCAGAAGAGAGAGGAGGCAGGAGGAGGAGCAGCAGGAGAGAGAAGGAGGAGAAGAGAGGAAGAGGAAGCAGCAGAAGGAGAGAGGAGGAGGAGCAGGAGAGAGAAGAGGAAGAGGAGCAGCAGGAGGAGAGAGGAGCAGGAGGAGGAGCAGCAGGAGAGAGAGGAGGAGAAGAGAGGAAGAGGAGCAGCAGAAGGAGAGAGGAGCAGGAGGAGGAGCAGCAGGAGAGAGAAAGAGGAGCAGCAGGAGAGAGAGGAGCAGGAGGAGGAGCAGCAGGAGAGAGAAGGAGGAGAAGAGAGGAAGAGGAGCAGCAGAAAGAGAGAGGAGCAGGAGGAGGAGCAACAGGGAGAGAGGAGAAGCAGGAGAGAGAAGGAGGAAAAGAGAGGGAAGAGGAGGCAGCAGGAGGAGAGAGGAGCAGGAGGAGGAGCAGCAGGAGAGAGAAGGAGGAGAAGAGAGGAAGAGGAGCAGCAGAAAGAGAGAGGAGCAGGAGGAGGAGCAACAGGGGAGAGAGGAGAAGCAGGAGAGAGAAGGAGGAAAAGAGAGGAAGAAGAGCAGCAGGAGGAGAGAGGAGGAGGAGCAGGAGAGAGAAGGAGGAGAAGAGGAAGAGGTAGCAGCAGGAGGAGAGAGGAGCAGGAGGAGGAGCAGCAGGAGAGAAGGAGGAGAAGAGAGGAAGAGGAGCAGCAGGAGGAGAGAGGAGGAGGAGCAGGAGAGAGAAGGAGGAGAAGAGGAGCAGCAGGAGGAGGAGCAGCAGGAGAGAGAGGAGGAGAAGAGAGGAAGAGGAGCAGCAGAAGGAGAGAGGAGCAGGAGGAGGAGCAGCAGGAGAGAGAAAGAGGAGCAGCAGGAGAGAGAGGAGCAGGAGCAGCAGGAGAGAGAAGGAGGAGAAGAGAGGAAGAGGAGCAGCAGAAAGAGAGAGGAGCAGGAGGAGGAGCAACAGGGGAGAGAGGAGAAGCAGGAGAGAGAAGGAGGAAAAGAGAGGAAGAGGAGCAGCAGGAGGAGAGAGGAGCAGGAGGAAGAGCAACAGGAGAGAGAAGGAGGAGAAGAGGAAGAGGAGCAGCAGGAGGAGCAGAAGAGAGGAAGAGGAGCGGCAGGACGAGTGAGGAGCAGCAGGAGGAGGAGAGGAGCAGGAGGAGGAGCATGAGAGAGAAGGAGAAGAGAGGAAGAGGAGCAGCAGGAGGAGAGAGGAGCAGCAGGAGAGAGAAGGAGGAGAAGAGGAGCAGCAGGAGGAGCAGGAGGAGGAGCAGAAGAGAGGAAGAGGAGCAGCAGGAGGAGAGAGGAGCAGCAGGAGGAGCAGGAGGAGGAGCAGAAGAGAGGAAGAGGAGCAGCAGGAGGAGAGAGGAGCAGCAGGAGGAGAGGAGCAGGAGGAGGAGAGCAGCAGGAGGAGGAGCATGAGAGAGAAGGAGGAGAAGAGAGGAACAGCAGGATCCAGGAAACAGACAGGTAGAGGGGCAGTGTGCAGGCCTGGGTAGGCAATCATATTAGGCATATCAATCAATCAAAGCTTTATTAAGGACACGCACACAAAAATAAGTTTTTAATTTTCAATTTTGAAAAGTTTGAAATTAATATAAAAATATGTATGATGCGGCACGTTAGTTATGTGAAACATTAATTGATGAAGCAGAAACAATTTAAACGAACAGATTGGTTAATGGGTTGATCCATACTGGTTGTACACGGCGCTCAAGGCGCTCTGCCAAACATGACAAAGCTCGTCTACGACGGCGAGATTCTGAGCGGCGCTCAAGCGCGTGAGATATGGAGCTGCTTTCAGGGCACGTCGGAGAAACAAAGCTGTCGTTCTTGCCGAACACATAATGAGATTAAAGAGCGAGAGACGGCTCCCTTTTCTCTACAGTAGCTGAACCATCTTAACGGGGAAAATAAGTTATTCTAAAAGCAGCCGAAGATTTAAGGCGTCGATGGCGAGAGGGCAGCGGGAGCGGACGCACCTCGCGACATTGATCGGACCCTGAAAGTACCGTCTCCACCTCCCCACACCCCCTCCATTGCCAAACGTTTGACTGCTACGGCGGCAAATCACCAGCCGGTCTGCGAGCTGGACGCATTGGTCTTAATGTGCCGGTAATGATGGTAAATGATGGTTGTAGCCGGTTGTCATCTACGGTTCACTACGGTTACATAAAGGTGTCGTTTGTGTTTTGACAACGTTTTATCTCATTATTTTGACTTTCTATCTCCTTTCTTTAGTGCGGAAATGGGCTTTTGTTGTGTGAATGCATCACTCCAGCCAATCCAAAGACGGGGTTTGTAACCAGTCGGATGTAGACACCATGGTGACTGGCTCCGCCCCCTTACTGTCAGAAAGAACAACAGCGAGCGCGTAGAAAACACCTTCGATCGCGAGCGATGAAGTTCACGTTTTGCAAGCGAGCAAATACCTCGCGCGAGACGGACTTTTGCTGGCGGATGGTTGATTTACGTGCGCGCATCAACCTGATTTGCGCTCTCGAATTTTGACAGTGATTTGCGCTGATAGACTGCAGTATCTTATGCGCCTTATTGTGCGGAAAACACGGCACACGAGCTCCGGAGAAAATGGTATACAAAACATACATTGTCGGTTAATACATTTTTAATCGGTTAAATTCTTAAGGTCATTTAATCATCCCTAGTTTATGTTTTGATCAGAGTTGTGATTAAAGGTTTGGGTGGGCCGCTAAAGATTTTCAGATTTCAAAGTGGGCCGCGGCATTCTTGAGTTTGGGAACCGCTTAAGGGCTGAATTTAACAAGTTGTGCTCTGTAAACAAGAGGCCGAAACATTGTAAGTTACTGCTGCTTAAAGCATGATACTGTGTAATATACCTGAAAATGTTACTCCAGAAATACCATAAGTTGCAGATGAATTGTTATCTTGTTTATAATGTAATAAGTAAACCATCTATAAATGAGTGTTCTAACGCACCTGCTGTTGTTATTATTATTAGTTTATTACTGTCATCATAAACCCAAATTACCAACTTTGCCTTTGTGCTTTCCCTCCTCATAGGTTTCTGCGGGTGGTGGTTGCATCTGATGGAGATTACGTCTGATGATGGTTGTCCCTGCACTGGTCCTGCCTTACCCCTGGCTTAATAATCCACAATATTAGAATCATTTATGTTGTAGGAATCGGATGTACTGTACATCTTTTAAGTTGTTCACACCTTCTTCCCTACTGTTTTCCCCTCAGGTTTCTCCAGGTTGAAGGTTTTTTACATTTTGGGGTTTAGGGGATAGGGTGTTGCATGTTTACAGATTGCAAAGCTGAACAAAATAAAATGATTTGAATTGAATAAACACGTTGACCAGAGGAATCTGCTCCGTGCACTCTGACTCCCTTTACACAAAGAATCCTCAAGTGAGGATGAGGGAGATGCAGCTGATTTCAGGTATACTATCCCAACTCAAGTGAGGCACATCTTGTTACAGAATCTATAATGAAGTTCCAATGATTCAGAAAAATGGTCTACAAACACAGAATTGTTGAACACAGAAATGTTGTTTCTGCACTTTTAATTCCATAATTTATTTTCCTGAAAAATATATTTTATTTCTGTATTGTTTTTAATTAGCAAAAGTGCTGTTATATGTATAGTGTTATATTTATAATAAATACAAATCAATAAAATAATGTGTTTGTCCTTGTTA